CTGCGGCAGCTCCCCGCCCTGAGGCGCCCCTTCCTGAGGCCGACCCCCCCCCCCCGTGGTGGCAGCTCCCCACCCCCAGCTCACCTCACCTCTGCTCTGCCTCCTCCCCCAGCACACCACCCCCGCTCTAATTCTCCTCCCCTCCCAGGCTTGCGGTGCCAAACAGCTGATTGGCGCCGCAAGCCTGGGAGGCGGGAGAAATGGAGTGGCCACTGCGCTGGGAGAGGGAGTCTGAGCCGCATGTGTCAGTGCGCCTCCGGCAGCCCAGCCCAGGAACACTGTAAAAAAATCGCTTTTTGGTGCCCCCAAATCCTGGCACCCTAGGCAACCACCTAGTTTGCCTTAATGGTAGCACCAGCCCTGCCTAGAACTCTAAACTAGGGCACCAAATCCTGGGCTCCCCAAGTACAGCCCTAGAGAGGAGCAGTATAGGGCTGTTCTGCCACAGGGGGAAGCTTCCTAAACCCAAGATATTCCCCAAGGCCGGCTTTAGCCCTTCTATAGCTGCTGAGATGTCATAGGGAGCCAGGCCTGGCCCAGAACCAGGGCTTTTGTTTTTTATTAACACCTATTTAATATCAATGACCAATAAACATTTTAAAGAAAAAAGTATTTGTTAAAGATTTTACATCTCCTGCCTCTTCAATTAAAATGTGAGTGTTCACAAATACACGTGCTTTGAGACCTCCAAAAAGTTACCAGGTGAGGCTAGCATGGACACTACTGATATCTCTAATATAAACATCAAGTTAAAAAATATTTTAAATAGCCTTCAGACCTTCCATCTCTATCATAAAGCTTTAAAAAGCCACAGTCCCATTAAAAAAAAACACCATTCTTTTGTCTTGTTAATATTCTTCCAATTATTAGCATCTATACTTAGTCTCAGGGCAGTGCAACCGTTTGTGGCCTACAGAATCTATTAACAAACTTCTGCACAGAGGACAACAGGGAGAACCTCTCAGAGGTCTGTTGGCTTTAAAAACCCTCTAGTAAAATCATTCATTCCTGTATGTAATTCCATTGACTTCAACATAGGAACAGCCGTACTAGTCCATGTCTCCAACAGTGGCTAGAACTAGCTGCTTAGAAGAAGGTGCAAGAAACTTGCAACGGGAAATTATTGAACAACTTGGAAATTTCTCCCAAATCCCACAATTTATTGTTGCCTTATGCTGTGAAGCATGGAGGTGCATAAGCTCTAAAAGCTGCTGTGAGCCCTTGTGAACTCATCTGATCTCCTTGAATAAGGTTTGCACAGAATCTATGTGAATTTCTGCTCTGTGGAAGGTTTCAGAGTAGCAGCCGTGTTAGTCTGTATCCACAAAAAGAACAGGAGTACTTGTGGCACCTTAGAGACTAACAAATTTATTAGAGCATAAGCTTTCGTGGGCTAC